GTTGGAATACAATCGTGTTTGGCTTGCTTTTATGTTCTTGAGACAATTCCTGTGCAACCAACTACAACATTCACTGTATTTAAGCTGGAGGCAAGAATATGCATGTGTACTTGTAGTTTAAAAAAAAATTACATAATGCTTACAAGCTTCTGCAAGCAAGTGGATTTTAATTGCCATACAAACTATGCCTTTGCTAATTACTTCTAAAAACAATGAGGTTTCTATAAAACTCGAGATGACATTTTAAAATTCTGACAGTAGATGTAAGTTTAACTGGGGCATTCTCTGTCAAGGTAAACAGAATGCCTGGAAATTAGCAAAATATGACACTGATTATAAAGTCTGAAAACATTAAAGTTGCAGCTCTTATTATATTCCCTTAATATTATTGCTATGTGAACCACAGTTGTGATTGTCAGCCATTCATTTAACACAATTCTGTTATACTACAGGGTCACCTGTGATTCAAAGCTTTTCAACTGCTTGGCTTCTTACTCAGGCTATGCATGAGTGAGGACTGCATCTTCTGTTCGACAGTGTTTTTCTGAGCCATGCACTTCACTTTCCTTCCCTGACACCAGGGAAAAGGAAAGTGTGACTGTCTAAATGTTTAGTGGGAGAAAATTCAATTTCTATTTTTGACAGTGTATTTCCCCTCTAATTCATAATGTCAAGACTTCAGTGACATGACTATCTCTATGGGTTCTTTTAAAAACAAATATACAAATTTACTTGTGAAAAATTAATTAGCATGGGGAAATGCCTCTTTTTAAGTTCCAAAACAGATGGGTGCACTTGTATTTTGAGTCATGTGCACAGAATTTTATTAATGGCACCGAAAAGCAGATATCATTTTTACTGAAAGGGTGCACTGAAAGAGAAACAAGCCATGAAAAAATTTTATACTACTACAGCCATGAAGCTATGATTACAGCCTAAAAGAGTGCTCTCTTTTCAACTGTGAAACTCCTTACTCTTTATATATAAGCTTTTGTTTTTTAAAAAAAGACCTGTTAATTGAATTATTAATTGTTGTTGAAAGGGTAAAGTACTTTACCAGGAACCTCCTTTCATAATAGTGCAATATATGAAAAATTTAGCAAAATGCTAATTAGGGGAGTGGTTATTTATATACTATTAAAATGCTGATGTAATTATCAGAGAGTTATTCATTTACACCAGATAATAGACATTTTTAATGTAAGGAAGATGGCTAGCCTGCTGGATTTTGCTAATATGAGGAAATTACACTGGATCCTGTATTTTTTTTCCCCAATTATAATTTATACTAATTTGTTTGTATGGTACGGTGTGTGAAACATGCATTGATACATTATTCCATCTAGTACTTCTGTATGGATTACAAAGGTGTATTTTATATATACATCAGCCAGAATTCTGCAGATGTTCAAGCACGTCAGAGGAAACTACACTAATTTGTCCCTTTTCAGGAGAACTTCTTTACCACACCTGCACATCCTGAAAGGAGGAACGTTCAGGGCTAACACAGAGTTAATACAATAACATAATCACATTTCTTATTTACTTTAAGCTGTGGTTTTGAACGGAATAATGACAGGACAAGTTGATGTTTGCATTTTTCAGGGTCTGGAACTTGGTATTTGAAGTAGATGAGTGCAAATGCTACTCCCTTTATCCCCTAGTTTTCTTAGTAGAATATTGTTGCATTGATAAATCTGGAATTGGCAAAAGCCATAACTAAGTGTGTAGCATGGGTATTTAGTCACTCTCTGTACATATTTAAAGTATTTTTCTTCTTGTTTGATTCATTTTAGTTTAGACTTTGCCACTCAGGGTGTATTGTTTAAGCATTTTAGAAGTCTCATTAATTTGGTTATTAAAAGCAAGAAATATAAATGGTACAGAGGAAGCATATACCATATTATTCCAGATACTGAATAGCTCAAGAAATGATTAGTGATAATTTTTCTAATCAGATATATGATCGTGGAGTCTGTCATAATGTAATGGTGTTAGGGACATGCAGCTGTAATACCATGTTCTCAGAAGAGGAATGAATTGTCTCTGATTCTAAGCTGATTTTAGTATTGGCATTCAGAGATTCAGAGCATAGGAACAAAAGAATCTGTCTGTGCAAAGCTGTACTGCAACTCATATTAATCTACAATGTCTGGCAATGAAATCGAATCTTTTTAAATGTTCTTTTTCCTTCAAAAAAACCAGAATGCAAGTTGTTGGAAGTTTTAAAACAGGAGGGAAATGCAGAACAGGATATTTGTTGATTATAGTTCACATACAGATTTCTGTTAGGACACAGAATCTGACAGTGTTAGCAGTAGCACAACTCAAATTTGGTGGAACTAGTCTTAATTTTCACTAATTTGAATGAGAAAACCGTAATAGTCACTCATTACTATAGAGAAATAAATTGCATTTCTTTCTTAAATCTTTGTTTGTTTAAACCTTGTATGGTTCACATTTAATATGGGATTAGGTAGGGTAAGAGTTTACTGAGAAATTGCACAGCTGTATTTATACAGAGCTGTACCCGATTCCCACCTCCTGTAGTGTGAGCAGTGGTAAGTGAACTGTTTCTGTGTTGTTCACTCACTCTGTCAGATCGAAACTCAGCTCAATAGCATTAAACTAGCTCCCATTTGAAAGATTTGTCTTACAAAACCCTGAAAACTACTCTGAACATGCATACATTGATTTTGTTGCTGGAATCTCCTGAGCTTTGATGAAAAGGAGACTCCACATGCAGGTGAAAGAGGGTTTACCTCTTCAATATTAAAAAGAGAAGATTAAGCATTTTTGTTCAGCTAAGGCTGAACTAATCAGTGGCGTGCGAGGGTGAGAGGCTTGGCCTCACGCCTATAGTATGATAATGTTATTTTCTTTAGTTGAACAACTAGTTCAGATTTCTCCAGTAGCTGCTTCTGAGTAACTGTCTACCGTTATTCCCATTTGCACAGCTAAATGAATATCCTGGGGTGCAGGAGTAGAGGTTTTTATTTTTGTCACAGAGAGGGAGGTATTAGTCATGTTCATTGTAGGAAATTTGCTTAAATTTTGTCCTGGAAAAGATGCAACTGTTATATCAATTCACAGAACAACATCTGTATGATACTGTTCTAAATGCTGAGCAGTTTGGTATTGGTGGAGGAGATAAGGCATTTTTTCATAATCATAAGTTTGATTTCATTCCATTTAGTTCTATTAAAGCATTAAAAAATGAAGATGAGTGACTTTCACAAACTTTCATGTTTTGCCCTAAAGAAAAAAGATGCTCATTTAGGCTTACAAGTTCGAGAACCTTTCCTATTTTGTCCTTGCTAAATACGTATTCTGCACAGTACTTGCTGTTATCATAGCACATACCACTATGGGAATTTTTGTGGAAGAAGAGTAGGGTATCTTTAATTTGCATATGTAAAAGAGAACGTCACCATAATGTAAGGCACAGCATCCTAGATAAAACAATAGTTTTTCACCTTCTACTGTCTGATCTGGCTTTCTCTTGTATTTACCTGTGAAAATTAAGATCGCTTGAAACTGTGGCGCCAAGTAAGGCTTTGGGAGATATAGAGGGAAAAGGCAGTAATTGTTTAAATGAACTAGCCATGCTGTAAAATATCATAGCATGTTACAAATATATCTAAACTTAAGTCTTATCAGCCATGCTTTTGATCTGTAATAAGAAATACAATAGCAAAAACTGAAATGAATGCTAGAGAGACAGATAAAACTAGATAAGGTGTTTTCAGAAATTAGATAACATGTATTTTTTGTTATTTGTAAGAATCACTTGTTTTGCCTCTTAGGCATATGTTGGTTGCATTCTCGCACAGTGTGGTTCTTCTTCAGCAGATCTGCTCCCCTGCCATCGTTAAACTGAGGTCCCACTCCAGAAGTATATGGAAAATCAAATAAAAGAGAGAGTAACTTCTTAACTACATCTCACATTATTTAAACTAACAATGACTCAACTGGAAGACTAGTTCTTGGTGATTTCTTAGCCTTACTTCAGAATGAACACAGAGCAGAGAGGACAAGAAAAACAAACTCTGAAATAATTCGTGGGACTAGAGGATTATTCACAATGCAATTGTGAATAATCTTCACATCCTCCTGTAATAATAATGTGAGATAAAACTCAAATGTATTGAATAACTGCATATATTCTTAAAAATATTTAGTGCTTTTATTGACAGAGAAATATTTATTTTACTACAGCATTTCCAGTTTGCTTGACTTACAAGACTCAGTAGCACACCTATAGCAGTTCTGAATTGAGGAACTTAAAAACAGTAATGATGAACTTAGGCCAGCTGCAATTTAAAGAAGGTTGCTGACATTTTAGAATTACATGATTCTGTTGGAATTAATTTCACACGCTAACTCTGTTAGACCAATAAACATAAGTTGTAAGGGTAGAAGCTGAACTGGTAGCATAGTTTTTCCTAAGCCAATCCATAAAGGTGCCTCTTCACCTCTTTGATGTGATAAGGAAGTGTAAAATCAAAGTGAATCCTTTTTCTGCATCTTGGGACAGAATACTGCTTAAGCCAATTGTTACTATTCCTGAGTGTTTTAGACAGTGAACCATGCATCTCTCTCTGCACATCAGAGAAGATTGTAGTAGTCATTGTGCCACCTGCTATCACTTAATTAGTATAATCATCTAATTTCCAGTTGGAAATAGTGGCATCATGCACTTTTTAGTAATTGTAACTGTCATAATATATTCCAAATTATGTTACACTCACATGACGTGATTTAGAAATTTTAGGAGGGGGTATTTGCTTTACATTTGGACACTGGTCTTTCTGATCTTGACTCTCGCCCAGCAGCAAAAGTCCGTAACCAGTTCTCTGTGTTATTATGATCCTAAAGATATCACTGGTTCATATAATAACTCTGCAAATGAGCCTTTGGTAAGTATGATTTAACCTTTATTGGACAGAGAAAAGCATAAATAATGGAAACAGTAGCTCATCATAATGTAAAACACACCCGTGCTTCAAAGAATTTCATCTGGTTTGTTAGCAAAATAATTTTTTAAAAAAATAGAATGTTGGTGATCACATATGCAAGTTGGATTTTATATACATTCTGTGATTCTCAGTTTAAGGAATAATCTCAGTTGATCAGAATAGGTCTTCATGTTTAAACATTACTATATTGCAGCATTTTTTTGCTCCTGGAGATCGCATCACAGCAAACGAATAGGTAATAAATGAGTCAGTTTGGGGCACCTTCATTTCACTGGATGGTTCTGGGCTATGAGGCTTCAAAAGCAGAAAGAGAGAGAAAAAGAGAAAAAAAAAAGGCAATGACATGAAGGGACCTAGGCAAACCTGAGCCACTGTCAGAACTAACCCTCCCCCATGCCAAATAATACTGTCTGGCTAAGCAAAGCACTGCCACATATATATCAGACAAGGTTATTACCACTCTGCTTTGTAAACATGCTATGCCTCCTGGACATCTTCTATTTTTATTTCATTTTTGTGTTATATCTTATATGTAAATCTAGGCTGGCGAGAGTCGGGAGGCATTCATAGCATTGGGCCAAATTCATTCCAGGTGCAATTCCAGGTCTGTTGACTTCAATGAAATTACACCTGGGATGAATTTGGTGTATTATTAACTGTAGAGATTACATGTCCAGCTTCCATAGTATGCTAAAATACCCAGAATACATATAAATAATGAAGTATGTAATTACAGTCCTGGTTTTAATTTGTGTTCCTAAATGTACTGATGCTTTTGCACATGTTTATAGTTATAGCTATTCTATTGTAGTATATTTTTTGTGTAGTACAAATATATTTGAGTTTTGCTTTAAAACAGAGATACACACAATGTTTACTTTCAAATGCCTCAGTAAGTCTTTCAAAGTCCATATGATGACTGATTCCATATTACAATTTTAAATTATATTGGTCTTAAATATAATACATATATACCTATATATACATAGATATAAACATAGATATATATAAACATATACAGAGTATCATGATACTGCCACTTAACATTCTACAAACAATGAGCTTAAGTTCTTATGGATTAGATGTTAATCAATACACACAAATAGGTGATCTTGTCAGAGTTGACAGGAGCCAATAGACCCGTTACCTATCAATATTAAAGATTTCATTCATTTGTATGTTTCCTGTCTCAAACAGTATATAACAGCTCCATTGACAGGAATTTGTGCCTGACCCAAACCAAAAGCGAGGCAGTATTTAATGGGCTCTTCCTTCACTAGGAGACATAAAAAGCATAAGTATGACTTACCTCTGCATGCATCTTCTAATTCCATTCACTTCCCCTGTATCATTTTGTACATTCTTGCATCTTTCAGTATTACACACTGTGAAGACCTGGTAAGCGAGTTAAAGTCCGATGACGCTAACGAATCCCAGCGCAAATGACTGAATCGATAGGAAACCAGCCACTGCTGTTTAAGTGTATCGATAAATGTACCTTTATTTTCTCTTGAATGGATAAGTGTCGCAGTTAAGAGTCCTATGGATCTCTTAATTGAAAGTTAATTTTAAATCAATAAAGAGAGTCATTTAAATATTGATTAGTCCTTTCTACACGAATTGTTAGCTGATTTTTTTTTTTTGAAACAACTTTGTTTAAATGCAATCAATAGCCCACAATCAGTGCGTTCCATAAAAAATTGACAGATGTTCCCAAAATGCCTGCTAGGCATAATCTTATCTGTTTACATATGTAGCATAGGTATTTCAGTCCTTTTCAAATGTACCTAAGTATCTATGGCAGAAATGTGCTTTCCTTAAATACCAAACTGCACTATTAAAACAAATTCTTCCCCTTGTTTTTCATAAGGTTGGTTCAAAATTAAAAAGGAAGAGTTCTTGGATTTCCTTTGATTCTACAAGTAATATTCCTATTGTTTTATTAATGCAGGCAGACGGTAAAAGAAAAATGCCCTTGTTTTTCACAAAGGGAAAAGAGATACAGGTGCATGTGTACTCTGGAATTTGTGTGTCATAATCCATCAGCTGTGTTATTATATGACAAATGATACTTAGCTTTTAATTATGTAGAAATTTCTGTACACATTGTGTATGCATGTTGAACAGTAATAATTTTTAGCTTTATTTCTTGGATATCGTCTCTCTTTCTCCATAGCAGCACATAGCAAGACAATTTCATTTCAATTTGACAAAGCACACAGATAAGTTAAAAGGATACAAATTTCATTTCATGAGATTTCACTGAGATTAACCTAATAAAATAAACTTAGCTACATGTGGCTTTCAACATTTCAGCAAATATGACACTCTTTTAACATGCCTTCCCACAACACTTTCAGTAATTTTCTTGTAGTGGCCTGCTACAATTTAGTTTGTCTCAACTAGTGCTAAAGTCAAACTGGACATTTTGGTGCAAGCAATATGAATTGCATTTTTCTCATGTACCCTCTAATTAATTATAAAGTCATACTTTGATGTACACGCCTCTGAAGTCCTGAAGTTGTCCTGTATTTTTATTTTCCTTATTTTTGAATTTTCAAATCCAGTGCCTTTTAAGGAAGGCTTGACCTTCTAAGTAATTAAGCCCTTTTTGAAGTATGAGAGCATAAAGTTAATTATAACAAATCACAAAATTATATAGATACAATTTTTTTCTAAATTAACATTTTTATTTTCAGTGATCTGACTTAAATAAAAAATAAAATTGACTGACACTTATTTTGACTGACATTTGACTGAAGATTATTACCATAATAATATTGCCTTTCTAAATGACAAATTAAAAATTAAGTCCCATAATTAAAACTGTTTATGACAGAGAGTAATTTAGGGCAGAAAATAAAGAAACTTTTTTTTTTTTTTAAGTGTACTATCTAAGGAGAATAAGGGTTTCTTGGAGGGGAAAAAATCTGACATGCAATATAATTTACTCTATTTTTGCTATTAATACAAATGCTTCCTGCTGTTCTGAAAATCCACTATTTCTTAATCCAGCATTATTGTCCTTCTAATGCAACATTTCAAACCCATTTTGCTCCATTTTCTGTTAGAAAAGCCATATTAAAAGGGAAGATTAAAAAGAATCAGCCAGGTATCATTGGTTCATATGCATATGGGTTCAGCATGTGAGGATGCTGTTTCTAGGACCAGCCTTAAGATGTGACTGATAGATCTTATTTGTCTGATAGAGTTGACCAGGGAAATAGAGCTACAGCTGGTTACTTCATTAGGTCTTCTCATTGATTGAACCCTGCTGAAGTGATGCAGCAGGCTCCTGAGATAACTGCTGGTAATAGAACAAAATGAATTCTTATCACAGAGATTGGAAAGGCCATTAACCCTGGCCTCCAATGCTTTTCAGAGGTCACAGACAGGAAGCCAAGCGGTGACTGGGAAAACTGTTTTCTGTCCAACTACAGGTCATGTTAGAGGGGGTCTGTGACTTTTTTACCCTTCGGCTTCTGTACAGATGAAACTGTTACACTGGCAGATGTTAATAATCAGCTGTAAATAAATATTGGAAGCAGAAGAAGAAAAATGAGAAAGCACGGGAATTTTTTTCAATAAATATTTAATAAAAGAGCAATTGTTTCTGTGATATTTACTGCCAGTTCTGCTGTAGATTTTTGCCTAATACTTTTCCATATAAATTGAAAAGAGAAATATGTAGAGGCACTTAAAAAAAGAAATTTAATATGTTTTTATATACAAATACCTTTCCTTCCTTCCTTCCTTCAAAGATGACGGTTATAATTGCCTGCTCCCTGCCTGCTTGCCTTATTCAGCAAGCCTATCACCAGTTCATCTGTGAATTAGTGCAGGGCGCTGTTTGCCTTTCACCTGGTTGAGAAGGGTATATATCTAAGTAACAGTCCTATAATTTACATTTAATGCAACCTTTCAATTGACCAAGAGCCCACAACCTAAGCCCCCATCTCACAGCTGAGGACTTTCCCACATTTGTCAAGTCAGTGCCACTCCAGCATCAGCCAGGAGAAATCATCCATTTAGAGCCTGGAGCTGCACATGACAGTTTTCCTACTGCTTGTGAGAAATCCAGCCATGGCAGAGGTAGCTTTGTGTTTTGCTTGTTTGACTCTTGCTTTGAGCAGCAGCGTCTTATTATACACATGGATAAAGAAAATGTAGTGGGATGCATCTTATGAAATAAAATGGAACATTTTCTCTTTATTACTGACATATATAAGGCATTGCAGATATGTGTTGTAGGTTGATTTTAGCAGTATGTTGGTGGCTTCTATCCTTGTGATTGTGATTTAATTTCAGTGTCTGTGGTCATGTGGTATTCTCTGCTGGAGCCAATCTTTCACAAGGAGCAAGTTCATTTAAATGTAAATGGGGTCCTGTGGATGGAAAAAAATACATACTGCATGTCTTCAGCGACCCACCCAAGCATTTGGTTTGGCCTTCCATGCATAAATAATAACAAGAAGGTATGCTGTCATTGCCTTGCTTTAAACACCAGAAGTGGTTTGGCACAGCAAAAACCTCAAGCACTAAAAAGAGATTGGTTTGGATAAACTCACAGTTCAGATCCCCATCCTGATTAAACAGCTTAAAAAAAAAAAAAAAGAAAAAAGTAAGAGAGAGAGAGAGAGTTACAGAGTTATTTTGAGAAGTTGTGAATTACAGGAACAGCTGAAAACCAACTCAGGCTAAGAACATATCAGACCTAAAAATACTCTGAAGTAACAGAAAGCTTGTCATTTTGTTAACTTGAATGGATTTTTTCTCTTAATTGTTTGTAGCAATTTGCAAGAGTGGGATGTGAATGTGGTATAAGTGGCAATATAATTGGCATTAATTTAGCATAAAAATGCAAACCTACATTTTCTAAGTAGTTACCTTCCCTTCCACTAAAACATGGAAATATATTACGTAACTCTAAAGTATGTGTGGCTTTTTTCAAGGTGTTATTAAATATGATAAAATGGAATTCTTTTTCTTTATTACTCTTGTGTATAAGATGTGAATGATTACACACCTTCTTTTTATCAAAATCTTGTGGCATATATATTTTCACACTGCTAAACTCATTTGTTGTCTTCTCAAAGAAATACTCCAGATGTATTTCAGCAGAACTGAAAAGTCTCTCTTAGAAATTCCCTTTCCCACCAAGCAAAATCATACACAGCTTTTCATCCATGTGGATGAATAGATATATTTTCTAAATTATTTCATCAAGTGCACACTTTTATTTATCTCTTTTATTAAGAATGTTATGTTCTGTTGCAGATGTTTCATGGCGTGACACACAGGCCAGGAATCTCAGTGTGTGATACCTTTGGTGAAACTCATTTATGAAACATCCAAACTTCCAGTTAGCTGTGCTCTGAACTAGGAACTTAGCAAAATGTTGACTTTGTTCCAGAGCTGTAATAAAGGACTGGTATTTACTGTTTTCAGAGATTTCTGAAGAATATTTGATAAGCTTTTATCTTCTTTTTATAAAGTGGCATTATAAAGAGCTAGATTTAAGCAATACAAGATTTGCCATACAGGGTAAGAAACAGGATATTAGTGTTTGTGTTACTCAACTATATTAGGTGTAGCTGTGAATCAGATAATTTTATTCTGGCGGCTTCAAAATCCAAAATGTTCATCTGTTGGTTCCTCTTCCTTTATTTCATTGAGCTGGTTAGGAAACAATAATCCAAGTTGTACGTTTAGTTTTCCTAAAAATTCCAGTGAAATAAATGTGTTATTGATACATAGTGGCTGAGCTGATGTGTTTTTCTATCTGGCATATTATTCACCATTGGGGAATATACATGTTGTGCTGTTTTTCATTATTTGGTTTCATTCCATACAGACTGATTTCCACAGAACCTCTTAAGTCTTCTAGGTATATTTGCTGATAATCCTGTATTGTTAGAGTTTTTTAATAAAAAAAAATGAGGTCAAATACTGTCATGAGAAGTAAGAGGTAGAGTCGTTTTCAACCTACTTCTCCTATCAGAAATCTTGGCAGTACACATGATATCTGAAAAGCAACATTATTGGTTGCAATGTGGGCAATATGGGATTAGTTTCTTGTTTAGAATGTGTAAAATTATTTTCCCAAGTGCTTTTTGCTTAAGCTTGTGATTTGCAAGATGTACAAAATTATTGGAGAAAGCAGTCCATCTCCTAATTCACTAGTCTAAAGAAACAGACTTGAGAAAGCAGTGCAAATGTCAAGCACTTCATGAGAGAGAGCAAATCCTATAGTGGGTGGTGCTACTCTAGGAACATTTGCGGAAGTGGCATAGCAATCATCACATAGAAAATAATCTAAAGACCATTGACAGACTAAAAGCCATTACTGTATTTTAGGAAAATATTAGGTTTCTTACATAAGGATAAGCTATGGC